TAATTGGATATATTATTTAAAACAATGCAATGCAAAAAAAGGAAAATAAAAGGAGACATCAAGCTTGGTAGCTACATACAGCTTCAGGAGCTTTGCGAGTGTTGCATACAACTTCCTGGCTGCATGTCTCTCATTAGTAATGCATGGTAACTCCTCAGCAGGGTCTGTATTAGTTACACTTGCACCAGACCTGCAAGTATTACTCCTCTGTTCAATTGAATCGGCCCTTTATAACATAGCAGACAATGACACAGAAATGTTGCCATGTCATGGTGGTTTGAGAGATCTTTCAGTCGCCACACCTTTGTGTGCTTTGAGGCTTGAGCTGAGTGCTGCTCTTTACCCCTTAGTATAGCAAAATATTTTTGCAAGACCCTGAAATGATACTACCATATAAATTATAACCAGATGGTTTTAGAGATTAACATATTAATGTTTCTTATCTGTCCTCAAAGGATGAACTTCTATTAAATAATATACTTGGATTTTAAAGAATATTTTAGATGCATTTCTGTGTATAGTTTGTTTATATCATAAATGAAGCCTTCTTAGAGGATAATTAAATTTAATTTTTAATAAAACGTGTTATTAAAATTTTGTATTAGCAAAAAGAAGAAAGAAGTCAACAGGGCCAATGGGTTTCATTTCTGATTTTTATTAAAATATAAAAATATAATTTCGCCAAAATTAAAAATTATGTTTTAAAATTACTCTTACCTGCTTTACCATAATTTTAAATTTTAAAAATAAATACTGATTTACTGTAAACAAAACCATTAAAAAGCACAGTTTTAAAGACATATATACTACTTGAAACCACTACTGCTTATTTTATTTTGCAAAGCCTGTCTTTTGCCTAGCCCTGTGCTCTTCCTAGGATGTGCTTTGTGAGGCCCTCTGAGCATGGTACAAAAGGTGGGTTTGGACCCCAATAAAATTTAGAAATTGATGGCCTCTCTCAGGTAAAACATTCTCCATCATTTTTCTAGACTTTTCTCTTTCCTGCTCCCCAGCTGGACAAGAAGAAAAGGCAAATGAAAACACTCAGCCTCTCCAACCACAGACAAGGACAAAACCCTGTATCCACATAGCAGCCAAGAGTACCTGTGCAAATTTGGGATCACTGGTGGCACAAGGATACTTATTGCAAACTGTTGGATCTGAGAAGCTGACATTCTAATAATTGCATTTCCAGAGGTTCTTTTGCTTTGTTTTTACTTTTGACTGGCTATGGCCTGGTCCCATGGATTGGCTGCTTGTGTGCAGCCAGACTGCATCTCCCAGCTTTGTTGCATCTGCTCCATGTGGTCCAAAACCACTCCAGACTGCAAACAGAAGCAAAAGAAGTGAGTTCCTAAGCCAAATTGACTTATTGATATAGTCACTCTTTTAACTCTTACTTGAGAACTTACAGGAAATATACTTTCACTGAAGGTTGCTCTCGAGATGAAACCAAGCCTTAGATCTTCAAATTTCCATTACCAGTCTCCATGTTACCTTACTGTCAAGTCTGGTTTAGACTCTGTTCCAAGCTTCTCTGGGATTCCTCCCTTCCTCAAGACTGTATTTCCCACCATGCTTCATATGCAGTTTCACAAATAAATCTTTCCATTAACATAACAATAGAAATGACCTATTGTGGTTTAACAGAAACTATCCAAAATAGATTTGTTTTCATTTTTCCTACAGCAAAGTTGAGTGAATATTTGGTTAGTATTTCACAGTTGCTTAAATTCTAATATTTAAAAAGTGGTCCAAGCCTCATCAGCTGCAAAGGAAATTTTTAAGAGTTAGAACAATAGGCTTCATTAGGTTTGGACATCTCTGCCCAAGGCAGGGTAGGAAAAAGCACAGTCCCAAGCACATTAAGGATGTCAGCTAAGGCAAAAGAATTATTCAGCCAAGAACATTGAAATATAACTCAGAAGACTATATTAAGAAAGAGATGAAAAAAAAGGAATCAAATTGTATCAAGGCATAAACACAGATTATCTACACAAGTATTAGAATACTCACAGATTGGCACTTTAAAAAACTTGAACAGAAAAAAGGCATTAGAAAATGATCACTTTTGTAAGAAAGAAAACAAGCACAATACAAAACACACTTGTCCATACTTTAAAAATGCTAATGTGACATTTTTAAGTTACAGATTTCTCTTTAAAAATAACATTTAAACATTTCAATGATTATTTTTTTGTATATGACACACAAAATTAATTTTCTCCAAATTTTCCAGCATGACATTTGAGAGGACTTAAATTTATACACAGGTCACACTGTTTATCAGGATTATAACCAATAGGTGAAAAAATAACTGCCTTCCGTGCCACGGTCATAAGCTTCCCCTAGTTTGGAACTGGATCCACTGCCATTAACAAAACTTGGTATTTTCAATGAAGAATTCAAATGAGGCCATATTTTGTTGTGCACACTTGATCTTCCTAAGGATTAGCATTGGTGAAACTAATGAAAGAGCTGGATGATACAAGGTTAGGGACATTTTTTTTTTTTTTTCCAGGAACCACGTCCACAGCTGCTCAAGATCCTTACTAAGGGATTGAAGCCAAATCAGGTTTCCTCCTTACACCTTCAAACTTCCCAGTGGTTCGGTTTCCCCAATGAAGTTAAGCCCTCTAGTGGGTGATCAGTAAGAAACCTCTTAGGATAAAAATCTTCAAATACCCAGGCAGACACCAGCCAATTCCACAAACATTTCTCATTTAGAAAGCAAGTGTATAGAAATGACATCACTCTACAGGATTAACAGGGTATTTTTATAGGATCAGAGTTCAGTTCAGAAAGCATTTGTATTATGCTAAGAGTCTTCTGGTTGAAGAAATGACATGCAGATATCATCTCTGGATATATTAGCAGCAATGTAAGTTTTATTTTCAGCCTTTTTTAAAAAAGAACAGCAAAACCAAAATCCACAATTGTTACAAGCTGTTCTGCGGACAGAAAAATGGATCTATCAGTTTTCTTCATAACTGTGAAATCCACCCTGAAGGTTACTGGCATCAAGTATTGCATCTCCCCCTGCCTCCCTGATTTTCACACACTGCAACTTTGCATCATGTCTTTTCTCCTCCAACCCACTATTATAACAGCTAGGCAAGAATCCTGATGTGCCAACTGGCAGGCCAGTACACATTTCCTAAGCAATGAGTGAACCACTGCTTTTCAGTCACCACACAAGCCAAACAACTAAAAGGCTTATTTTTCCTCAGCTGAAGCTAATTACCATAGATCAAGATGCCAGTTTTCACAAAACTCATACAAATTCAAGCAATCAAATTCAAAGTTAGGTCTGCATAGCATCTTTTCCTTGGAAAGCCAGGCTAGAAGGCTGAGCCTCGCAGTTTTCAGCAGCCTAAGAGCTTAGACTGCAGAAAGGGAGGACTGAGAAAAGTAGACCATGCATCTTGCCAGAGACAGCTAGAGTCTGGAATAGAATATCTCATTCACTTAGTGTAAAACCAAAAAATTCTTCTATGTGATAGAACATACAACAGGCCCCTCCACTTCAATACAGGCATTCTACTTCTATTCAGGTCATGGAATGCAGTTATTTTGTCGCAGACACTGACAGCTAAAATGGGAGATGGATGGAGAATTCCTTTTCTGAAGTCATTTGTTTCAGTTACGTTTAACTCTTGAATAACTAGACTTCAGCAAAGATGCCTTTAATACTTTTCTACCAAAAAGTAGACATCATGAGAAATGCTAACATTTATAAAAAGCCACAAGCACCTGTTTTCCCAAACTAGAGCAAAAGGGTAGAATTTTACCACTTTCCACTTCCCCAGCCCAATCCACAAAGGAAGATGGTTTAACTTTGTGTTGACTTGAGTATCCTGAAGTAACCTCCAATTAAGCAAACGAGAGAAGAAACACCATGCTGATAAAGCCCCATAAAAATAAATCTCAAGTAACAAAGTGTTACTATGACAATTTCAGTATTGGCATGAAAGTGCACAAGACACCCAAATACCAGGCTTGGAGAGCAATGCAGTAGTTAGGCTCTCAGTGTCTTACTTTCCAGTCTTTTTTCCAGTTCCTCTCCAAACTGGTTTTCAAACAGGAAACAGCTCAAGGGTGTGGCCATACCTGTTGGGTCAGCTCATCAGTGAGCTCCATTATGTGCAACTCTTCCAAAGGACAGCGACCCTTTTCAACAGCCTCTTGTTGCATATGCCACATCTACTCAAAATTCTATGCTTTTTTGTCCCTGGATCAATGGAAGAGAAACTGGAACTTGTCCAACATTAAATACACACATCCTCTACCTAGATTTTTGAAAATTATTGTCATATTTTCAACTCCACTTCCCCCCCCTTCTTCCTCTAAGGCCTTCAATTGCCTGACCTAACTCATACCATAAGCAGTTTTCTGACTTCCAAAGGGATTTTCTTTTTTTTAGTAAAAATATTTAACCTTCATCACTGGGTCTACATCCCTGTGCTTGCACCGTGTAAACGTGGTTGAAGGATTAAACACTTAGACCCCATCTCGCAACACAAAATTCTTGTTTTACATTTACAAAAGACTATCTTTTAATCAAACACATGGGGCTTGTTATTTTAAGTTTCCTACATTTAGACGTACTAAGCTAGAAAACTCCATCTTCGTATGATCTGGTAATGGAAGAGTTCAATGGACCTCCATCCCCTGCCCATGGTAATTACTTTGGGTTTGACACTGTTAACTGAACAAAGATGAAGACTGAACTCTGTTTAATGAGCCACTATGTTGTTGCATGTACCCATAAAACCTAGACTGTGAGCCCTCATGTTCTGATAACCACACACTGATCAACAAGAGCAAGGGTTTCTTTATTTCCAATAACCTACAACAGACTTACTATGAATGGATAAAAGAGAATTGCTATCAGCCCTCTGATTTTACTTTAATACCTATCAATTTGTGTATTACTTTTAAGTACGCAGTGAAAAAAAATATCTATTTACCCACAGAGTAAAACACAATTTTAAAACAAAAATTATCAAATTTCTTATGTTTATTGACTTCTCATGAGTGTAGAACAATTTTAACGGTAAGACTTCTGGTAGCGTGCACGAGCACCAGGTCCCCCAAATTTCTTGGATTCACAACGGCGAGGATCTGCAACCAGCAGAGTCCTATCATACTGGATTAGAATATCCTTGATCTCTTTCTTGGAAGCTTCATCAACATCTGTTTAAAAAAACAAAATCATCAGTTTAAGTAGTTTCACATGGAACATCCATATTAACACTTTTTGCAATAAAGCTACCAAAAGCCACGTTTCCATTTAAAGCTAATACAACAATCAAAATTACTTACACTTCTGATAGTAAGCCACCAAAGCTTTGGAAATAGCTTGACGGATAGCTGTAAAAAAAGATAAAGGATTGGTAAGGATTGCAAATTTATTTAAAATTTAAATACTTGGTTCCAGTTATCTGAGAAACTTGCTATCTTGTTTGCTGCCAACTTGTCCTTTCCCTCCCTAACACTCCACATGAACTTTACTTTGGCAAATCTGAAGAGATCTGTGCCAAGAGGCCACCCACAGTTCATCTGTGACTTGACAACTGTCAGCTGACCAAGAAATTGCACAAGGGCAGTTTGATCACCTTATTTCCCCCACTACTAACACAGATCCATCTCCTGATGGACAGTTCTCTGAAAAGTCTATACTTTTTAACAAGGACAAAACTGATCAGTGTGATGAAGGACTAAGGCAAAATGGACAGCAGGAGGGTATCAGTGCTAGCACATGTCACAGACAAACCCCTGTAGCAGAATACCACAGCAACCAGAACTCAAACCAGAAGCAGGGGAGTTTACTGTCAAGATGTTGTTACACTGCTTTTGTCAAAACATCAACATCAGGATTTTGATGAAAACATGAATGACCTGAAAAACAAATGTGATCAACGTTGATCCTGAAACTTGCCTCTGGCCTTTATGTAGCCTCAGCTCCACTTCACTACCCTATATATAAACTACAAGAACAGACGAAATCTATTATTTGTAAAGATGAACTTTTATCAGCAGCTAATGTAATTATGTTCAACCTTCCCTTCAAGGGGACAACTGCCTTGCTTTGCTTATCGGCTGAAAGATGCTTCTGAACAACATGGAAATATAGAAGATTTAATTTCTAATGATAAACACCATTCCTACCCTCCCAAAATCCTTGTGCTCAGCATTCTTGAACTGCCCTGTCACACTGCACCATGTAAAGATAGTTTCCTCACGTTTCCTCAAAACTTCATCAATTTACTTCACTCAGCTTACTCTAGATGTTACACCTTCGCACACAAAACATAACAAATAAGCCCTTATGAAAAACTACATTTGTGCAGTGGAAAAAGAAACAGAACATCGTGCTTGGCAAGTCACTATTCTGAACTCAGACTCTTAAACACATGGCCACACTGGGTCTGGCTGAGATGGAGGTGATTTTCCTGACAGCTCTCACATGGTGCATACTCTGGCTGCAGCTGGGCAGCGCTCCCACAGCATCAAGGCTGTGCCTCCAACATTCCCCCCCACCATTACGCTGGGAGTGGGCAAGATTTTGGAGGGAACACAGCCAGCATAGCTGACCCAAAGGGATATTCCACACCATAGGATATCTGCTCAGCAATAAAAGCAAAGAGAAAGAAGGAGCAACTGCTACAGGTATTGAGGCCTTACTTTGCAGGAAGTGGCTGAACATCACCTTCTCATGGAAGCCTTTAGGTTTTTTTCCTTCCATCCAGGACTTTTGCTATTGTTTCATTAAAATGCCTTTATCTTGACCCACAGATCTTTTTCATCTTATTTTCTCCCCTTCCCCCTCCAGATAAGGAGAATGACAGAGCAGCTTGGTGGGCTCCTGGCATCCTGCCAGTGCCAACTCACTAGAATGGCTTAACCCAACCTAGTCCACATCAGAGACCCCACCAAAAATCATACCATAGATCTGTGCTACATGGCCACCACCCTTCACACGGACTCTGATGTCAACACCAGCAAACCTTTCCTTCCCCAGGAGGAGGACAGGTTCAAGCAGCTGGGAAACAAAATACAAAGAATTTTCATTTGTGATCAGGATCAGAGTTGCATTTACAAAATGTGACATTATTCAATATTCTGAAAAACAATTTTAGAAGCATACACCCAGACTAAATACACCTCTTGCAGAGGTGGCTTCTTTGACATCTACTAGTGCTGTCATAAGATAAATAAACTCAAGACTTCAATAAATGTAAGTTTCAAATATCTTAATAACAAAGCATATGGGAATTGAGAGCAAGGGAATAGTTTTAGTAGCACACCATAACTACATGCAAAAAACAAATCAAGTTTATTAAAACTGAAAACCTGAAGTGATTTGTAGGTAGTTTTCTTCACTGTTGTTTATTACACTTTATAGCTATCTAGTCAGCTTTAGATTCTTTCAGCAGTGCTCAGCAGCCATTTCATTAAGTTCTAGACCACCTTTTAAAAGGAGAGCTTTAAGCCATTTAAAACTGCAGAAGTGCAGAAAATATTTCACATAATTACACTGACATGAGTTCAGTAAAACCCCAAGTCACAGAGGTGCAGTTTTCTAACTTTTCATTATAGTATCTACATTTTAGATAATCAAGTAACAACCAAAAATTCAGTACTATCAGTAAAACAAGCAACTCGTCTCCACTGCCAAGTAATGGAGTGTATAATGGTATTTTAACACCCAAGGGAAGCAAGGCAGAGGCTGTGTGGGTGCTTACTTTATACTGCAGAGTTCTGGGCTCAATCATTTCCAGAGGTCTTCCATTCACTTTAATGAGGCCATTCCCTCTCTTGCAGTGAGCAACAGCCGTTGCCGTTTTCTAAAAATCCGAATATGTATTAGTACAGCGTTCCGTTTTTGCACAAGCAAAGTGAACTTCCACTTACGCTGAACAACCTAGCAGTCTTACTCCTATGCCCAAAGTTACCATTTTGCACTAAACAAAATTGTAACGCTACTTACATTTTCAGATACTGACATTAAAGCAGAGTCTTAATAAAAGTGTACTTGTAGTTCCAAGACGTAGCTGTATACAAGGGAATCACTCTCCCTTCCGTAACACGGTATTTGTACGGTTCATTTTCTCACAAGGGCACGTTACCCTGAATTATTCGAGATGCTGGACTCCAGCAGACAGAACTTTACCCTCCCGCCACCACCTCCCAGCGTGGCCCTCGAACATCGGCACTGATAAGCTAGGCCTCTGTGGCTTGCGGACGGCAGCAGCGGCCGTTCCTGAGGAGGGAGAGACCCCAGACTCATTCCCTCCCTTCCCCTCCCTCCCAGTACCGTGTGGGCACAGGCCGCTCTCCGGTATCCCCGCGGCGGAACACGTGGGCTGCGAGCGGGCCCAGCCCCGCAGGCTCTGCCGCGGCCCGGCCAGGCCCGGACGCACGGCCCCAGCCAGGAGCTGTGGCCGAAACACCCCGAGCGCGAAGGGCCCGAGGGCGCGGCCCAGCCCGGGGACGGAAAACGCGGTGTGGGCCCCCCCGTCCGCGCCTCACCTTCCGCCCGAACACCTGGACGCTCTGCAGGGGGCCCTTGGCCGGCATGGCTGCTCCTGCAAGAGAGAGGGAGAGAGAGAGTGGGGTCAGCGCCGCGGGGCCCCGGCGGGACGGGGTGCGGCGGGAGCGGCACGGACAGACAGACACACACACGCACCCGGCTCGGTGGCGGCGGCTGCGCAAAAAGGCCGCGCGGGGCTGCCCGGCCCAACAGCAGGGGCACGTGCCGCAAAGCGCAGTGCCGTAACTCCCTTCATTGCGGCAAAACACGCTCCCGCCTGTGCCCCTCCCCCCAGCGCGCTTTCCGGCAGCGCCGCCCCGCTCACGCCGTTGTGGCCCCACCCCTCGCACGCGACGACAGGCCGGGGCTGGGGAGGAACAGCCGGGAAGGGAATTGGAGCGGGAATGGCAGCATTCCCTAGGCTGGGCTGAGCCCTGGGCCGGACCCTACTGCCCTGCTCCCGCCGAGCCGCACGGGTTGCAGGCCCCGCCCCCCGCATGGCCGGGGCAGCACGGCCGGGCCTCCAGCGGAGGAAGCCGCTCTCTGCCTGAGGTTGGACAGGGATCACAGCAGCTTGAAAGAGTTCCTGCGAGGAATAAGAGAGGATCCGCAGCCTGCGAGAGGGTTTTCCTTCTATAGATACCACAGTGCTCTTCGGTGACGCGGTCACAAAGCAGAGCCTGAATGGGCTTCCGCTGTAAAGAGAACCGGTGATGCCCCGCCTGAAAGGCTCACAGTCACTCTTTGATCCTCCTTGAGATGCAACAATACAAACTACATAGCTTTTACAGTTTTAAAGTCTGGTAAGCTGGTGGCAAAAATGAAGCATTAAACCCTGTATTCTCCTCTGGCACTGTACTCTTGAGGCACAGTCAGGCACTTAAATATTCAGCAACTGTTACATTTAAGATCGACTCAAGGAGTTGTCCTTAGATTCAGCACATTCAGGGAGCCCCATCAAATTTAGCTTCTTCCTCCGTCTTTTCGTTTAATACGTCATAAAACATGGGATTTCAGTCACTTCCAGACTGAAAATATTTTACTTCTAATGCTTTAGTATTTAGTATGCAAAAGAATCTGTCTATGAAGCAAGGTCATGCTTCTTAGATATTTTAAATGATAGAGACTTAAGTTACTGTGATGAATTACAAAGCTGAATTCTCAAATGAAACAATCAGTTCCTTTGTCTTTGGACAGGATTTTAAATACTGAACATTAGTCATCAGTCATGTGAGGAATTAAACAAGCATTTAGCTTTATGCAATTTGAGTGATTAGTTCTATTCAAGTGAATAGTACTGTGCAGAACGTGTAAGATTTAGCACATCTCAAACCCTCAATTGTACAAAGCTTTAACATGTGATCCAAAAAGTGATTTATTTTTTTTAAGGCTGTTTCCTAAGGAACAGTGTTTATGCAGTCACACATATCTATCATCCAGTCTTTCCCCATCATTGGAGGAAGCGAAGAGGTCGCCCCCTTGTTGGCCAATTCCAGTTAGTTTTCACAGATGCATGAAAATTTCAGAAACGATTTAGCCTGTACATGTTCAGTGAAAATAAGAGAGATCTTTAACTTGCGCAATGAGAGCGGCTGAAGGAGCTGAAATATTAAGACATAATAAAACCTTTATTTAGGTGAGAAAGAGAAAATATAATACCTAATTAACCCACTTAGACAAAAAGGTTCAGCTAAGACTTATGATCAACCCAAAGGTAAGCCATTAGTAACTGAGATTTGTTGGGTGCTCAGGGCACTTTTAAAGCAAAAGAAAGCAAATCTATTGGCTATGTGGGCATTATCTGAGGTCTGCTTCTGAAGACTTGTGTTTTAAGACAAAGTAAATCATTAAATAGGGTGTTTTCAAATGCGTAAAGCTTACATTTTGGGAGCATGCTTTCTTAGGCCCTGTAAAATTCATCCTCATTTGGGTGTTCATCTGCTGCATGCTCTTCCTGGAACTAAAAACAGTCATCCTAGAGGAAAGAGCCTGTGTAAAACCAGGGATATGCCTACATACATGTATCTGTCTGCTGTTTTCAACATAAGAAGATAACCAACATACTGTTGAATTCAACATAGTGTTGAATGGAAGATAAAGTTAAAGGCTTTGCCCTGCTTGTTCCCTTTGTTTTCTAGCATAATGTTGCCTAAATGTCCAAGGTATCAATAAGAACAGGAGTAGGAGCTAAAAGGTATTTAGAAACCATGTACCATGGAAATTAGTCTGTGACACTGTAAGAGTGAATTAGATCATAAATATCACTGTACAAAAGAGGCAAAAAGAAAGGTACCAGAATGGAAAAAAACCCCTCAGGTAACATACTATACTTTAAAAAAAAAAAGTCCAAGCACTAACAATATCCCTATTTAGTTTTACTGAGCATAGAGGACTTCAAAATGGTAATATATCTCAGACTTCAAAAGGAATACATGGTAAGAATCTCCAAGCACCACCTACAACCTCTTCTGTTCGCTTCTTTTTTATTTGTGAAAAAATTGCACCTGTGGAATGTAAGGCATTTGTTTGGTGGCCCTTTTTTAACCTTATTTTGCACCATTGTGAAGAGTAATACAGCATATAAAGCAGTGAATAATCAGGCCCAGAGAAATTAAGGCGTGTTTACTAGTAAACCACTATTAGCAGAAAGCTGGCAGGTTTGTACCCATCTAGATAGGGCATTTTTATTATTTCCTAACAGAAGAATAACTACTTGGATTTTACTCAAGTGTAAGTCCTTGATTTCACAGTGATTCTGCATTCTACTAACAGATGATCTGTTGTATATCTTTGTAACAACAAGTATCTTAAAACTACTAAATCTTTTACATGGGCGTTTAGCGAGGCTTAGGAGGTCACTGCCTGACCTCCTCCACTGGAGCTGCTTTGATCTTATTGCAGGCTGTGATGTAAGATGCTGCTGTGACCTGCTACAGACCAACCACACGCACTGCTGCCCTCTCAGCGTTCTGAGAGCAGCAACGGTATGGCGGCAGGGTATGGCACTGTAAGGGAATGTCACTGGCAATGCCTCCAGTTGTTTCCTCAGTTTGTGACAGGAGCACAAACCTCGTGTAGGTAACATGGACAAAGGTGAGCTAAGCAGAGTCAGTGAGCTGGGCTGAGCAGAGCAGCTAACAGAGGTCATTTGGAAATTTGCCAATGTGGATCATATGGAAAACTGCAGTACAAAACTTGCATGTCAGTCCACTGCTCACAAATACTGTCAGGCTGATGTAGTGCAACCCACGAATTTTAAATTTATACTTATTTGTTACTTGAATGCTAACAGATTTTATTTGGCATCCCTATGCAGGAGTCAAATCTATTGAAGATTTTTGTGGTTTATGTTTTTGTGGGGTGACCTTTTTTCTGGGATTTTATGTAGGTTGAAATTTAAAACAGCAAGTGACTGGACTTCCATGTGAAATCATGATGCTGGTTCTCCACTTGGATCTCATAATCTTTCAAATCAAATTCTCATGTAATTTCAAAAGGCAAACATTCAAAGAGAACGGCATTTTAGCTTCCACTTAGCACAGAAGTATGTAGCTGCTGAGAGCATAAGGCAACAAAGAGTCAAGGTCAACATGTTAACAAGACCAGCTGTAATGTGACTCTAAATTTACTCCTATTTTAAAAGGAGAGAAAATGCTCTCAGTGTAAAAATAATGGGAGAATTAGTGACATTATCTTCCTCCTGTATTATCTGAAACATTAATAGAAAGGTGAGAGCTATGACAAAATACAGTTACTTCTACATATACTGTCATAGAAAATTAAAGTATTATGAAAGTGAAGGAATATTCAGGGGAAATATGAAGAAACATTCTTCTACATAGTCCATAATAACATTAAAGAAATCCACACCTTCTACCAAAATGTCCCAATTTGCAATTTAATTGTACATTGTAGAATAAGTTTTTTAGAAGAATGGGTAATTTTAACCAGGGAACAGATTTGTTCATATTTCATGCATGATAAACAAAGCATATTCTCTGAAGTTTTTACTTCTTACAGCAAAATCATCTCTAAACGCTTCAGAAGGCGGTGTTAGTCTTGTACAGTTTTGTATCTTTTGAAAATTAGTGGATTCCTTCACTGAGAATTTTGAAGCATTTCAGGAAAGGAGATACTTAATTGCTTTTTTAATGGCAGCTCTTACATTCTGAAAGATCTGGGATACCAGAATACACTGCTCATATTACATTTTGCAACTGATGCATGTTTGATGATAAAGTGTAATTAGCTAATGGATCCCATTATTTCTGAGGCTTGCTTTTCACAGATCATATTCATGCAGGCAGCAGCTGAAGAGTTTTCTAAACTCAATTAGTGCAAGAATGCTGTGGCCAATGGAAAAATGTTTGATGCATGCCAGAAAACAAATCTTCCCAGCTCTTGAAAATATGTTCTGAAAACAAATAAGGATCACACAAGATTTTCATAGCAATAAATATTTTTTTTCCTAAGAAAATATTTGAAATCTAAAGCAAAATTTTTTATGTAATTATGCTTCTCTAAGGAAGCTCTATAGCATAAGTCCTGAAATATAGGAATATGGATTAGCCGGACTGGTGTGAATACTGATTCCCATTTGCAGATTATAAATGTTAATGTCACATTGAGATTGAAAACACGAGCCAATTTGTAATGTAGAAATCAACACAGTTATAGGCTTGTTCACACTGAAATTCAATGCATGGAAATAATTAGCAATACAATCGTTAACTCAGGACTCGTGTTTAGCATTGCTGCTTGGGAAAAATCACAATCAATGATTGTCTTGACTTTCATTTTGAATGAATAGGCTGGCTCTCTCAGTACAATAAATAAAAGAAATACAAAGCCCATCTTGTATCTGAACGTATAGACAGACATTAGGGCTCATTGTTTTAGCTCTGTTACCTGGCTTGTTGCTGAAGTCTGAATAAAGTAATGACTTAAATGTGCAACAAGCATCCTACTTACAGTGGCTGGAAATAAGTATTATCGGTTAACATAATTCAGCTGCAAAGTTATAGGTCGTTTTAGAATCTGTCCCTATATTAAAGGCTAATCCTTAATGATCTAGGACTTAGACTTGGAATAAGACTTTATCTGTCCTTCTGCAACATACAAGGCTTTGG